GATTTACCTCTATGTTGAAGAGCTTGACGCAAAGATGAAGTAATATGACATTTCAGCTCCAAATACTAGGAACCCTCTCACTAACCGCTACCTTTTCAATGTCATGTTCCAAACATCAATATGTCCATCTTGTTTAATCCCTAATTGAGACTGTGCATTTACACTTAAGATTATACAAATTATACTCATTGTACTAATGTAATCATTTTCTGATATCAATCTTTTTGTAAGTTGATTTTTGATGACTGTTTAACAATAGGTACATAACTCAACCCATTTGGAACGCTAACGATACCAGCAATATAACCTAACCCGTACATCGTACGGCCAAAAACTAGTATATTAAAAAAAAGGGATGATTACCGACACTCATGCCAACCATTATGGATGATTTGATTATGCATGAGTTTCAAACAAAAGCAAAGTGAGGAAACAACCTCTTGGCAGTGGCAATGGTGGGTAGAGAATTGCAGTGCATTATGATGTACATGTATGTAGGAAAAAAATTCACATGTTACCCAATTAATTTTGGTACATATGATAGATGATTATATTTTAAAAAATTACCACATTCTCTAAATTTTGAAAAATTAAGTTTTCGTGCTGATAATGTATTATAAAAAGAGAGAAAATGAGAAGAGAGAATAAAAGTTAATAAACTTGTATGTATTATAATGAGAATCAAAATCTTATATTTATAGAGCATGATCATGTAGATAATGGTAATAATTTTTAGTGTTGAAGTGGTATAATTGTCATTCACTAATAAATTTACCATTTACAACAAAAATGACATAGTTTTTAAGACCAAATTTTCAAACAAACTTTGAATTTATAATATTTTGATAATACCACTTAATTGATTAAGTCCTTGTTTGAGACCCTTTTTTTTTTCTTCCAAAAAGTACTTTTTGTAATAGTGTTATGATAAAGAATGCGTGATTCAAAAATAAGAATTTTTTTGGGGTTTGCGTGTCATATTATTTTATTGAAAAATATGTAGTTAAAATATGATCAAATCACTTTTCAAAAATACATTTTAATGAAAAATTGAGGTTCAAACAAAGGCTAAATAATATAATATTCTTGCTTAATGGACTATACAATAGCTTTTTCCAATTCACTCACAATCTGACTTCTCTCTCTACGCACTCTTTCTTTTACACTCACGCCTACACGACTATACCTTACTTTCTCTTTATCACAGTCATGCATACAGTACATACTACCCCATGTACAGTACAAAAAACCTCATATTTTTGTGGGATCACTTGACCCCACACTACCCCATGTGGGTCCGCACCAGAGGTTGTTTTGTTCTGTGTACACATTGTAATGCACCATGTTGTTCAAGTTTCTACTGTATGCAGTTGTTTAAGAACATCTTCTTTACAAAATTTAGTTCATTATCTTGATACATGTAAATCAAAATTTACATGATGAATTACATAATATCATATAACACTCTACTATTTGACAATTTAAAATACAATAAACTTTTTAATCCAATCTTTTTCACTCCACATCATATTATGTAATCCATTATGTACTTTTTTTTTTATGTACAGTAATAAAATCCTTTCATCTTTTTCTATTCTGGAAATCGAGCTTTGATTTTTGTTCTTCAAACCTACTATAAGAGGTTGAGCTTCGATTTTCATATTTCCTTATATGTATGTACTACGCATGAATACGTGTCAACTTGAAAAGTTTGAAGTTCTCACTCCGTTTGCTCGTCTTAATTGTCACACGGTTCTTAGTGTGATGTCGTCATTGTCCAATATCGTCATTATAGTGAGATCAGGTATTAGATCAAAAAATTATGCAAGATTTATTTACAAATCCTACAATAATATTGAGACCATTTCTCCTACTCATTAATTTGACAAATAATTGTGACCTTTAATTTAAGTCAATTCAATGCTCAATATGTATTTCACCAAGATCATGTGAGAGTTTGTTATAACCACTTGATATCTACAAAATATTGAGCGTTTCATTGACTTAAATTAAAAGTTATGATTATTTGTCAAATAAGTGTGTCAAATTAATGAGTAGGATGAACGGTTCCGTAATATAAGAGGCTTAAACTTTCCCATTGTTCGCTTATTTTCATCCTTAGAAGAAGAATACAATGTCGTTTTGTTTTGTGTTTTCCTGGGTTTTATATGAAACGATGTCATTTCATCCGTGTTGGCTTGGGTGTTTCTCTCTTTCTCATGTCATTGCATTTCATTCTCTCTCCTCGACCGAAAAAAAATTCATTCTCTCATGCATAGTGTTCGGAAATTTTTCTTGCCTTCTTGCCTTCTTCCTGCTGTTTTGTGGCTGGAAGTTTGCTATCTTCTCATGCATTTTGCGGATATCACCAATCATGGAGGGTTCCATGTAGTAAATTGTTTTATTTATTTATTACCGTTATTGTACACTTCGACCTGTGTCTAGTGTTTTGCTTCATTTATATTGCGAATTAGGACTTTAATATTCATTTCGATCATTCGAATCTTATGTGCATTAGTTTGTTTGGTGCGGAATTTTCCTATGAACATCTCGTGGGATTTATCTCGTATATAAAGATAACATATTAGTTCTGCTCTAAAACAAAATTTTGACAACCAAGTTGAATCTTTTTGAAATCTCGATTCTCACGAAGCCTTGTCCAATCACATCAATTAAGAGGCTATCTGTTAGCAATTATCCTGGCCAGAAATGGGATTTTTCCTACCGTTAGCTTTCACTTCAGCCGCACTATTTGACCAACCATCTCACACGTAGGTCCCACTAACGGTAACAATTTTGATTAGAATTTGGCCAAAATCTGCAACAGACAAGGCCTAAATTGTAAATAAGTGGTTGCTTGAGCTTCATTTTTTTTGAAAATTCATTTTTAACAACATATTTTTTAATAAAATAATATTACACGTAAATCGCAAATTTTTTTTTTTTAATTTTTAATCATACATTTTTCAAACATTTCTATTCAAAAATGCATTTTTCTTTCAAAATGGCCTCAAACGAGGGCTAAATATAACATCTTTGTCTAATTTAATGTTAGCGTGTTCTATTTCATTTTCATTTAGGCAGGCAGGCATCGGATATTTTTGGTACATCTTTCCTTTCTCAGAACTTCCAAACCAGTCACTCTCAATAAGAAGTCTCCAAAGTCTTCACGACACCGTTTTACTGAAAATTCTGAGTTTAACCCTAAAATTATCCTTTCTTTCCCCCAAATATTTCCCGGGAAAAAAATAATCCTAAATTCTCAAATTCGTTGAATCCCCTCCCAACCATACCCATATTCCAATTATCAATATCTACGATAAAAATCCTTTTTTACATCATTTTCTTCGCGTTACACTCTAAATTTCATGGAAGTTCCTTAAATCTCTAAAATCTTATCGCAATTCACTTAAATTCTCACTTTTTTCCCTCCAAACCCATACCTCAATTATCAATCTAAACTTCAGGAATCCATTTTGTAAGTCAAAATTTATTGTTTTTATGCTGCCATGGCTGCTGTTTTAAGGTCAAAATCATCGCGAGATACTGCTTCGTTTGCTACCTCACAGCTCAGATATTTCATTCAGAACCATATCCACGCGGGTACTGCCCTTTACCAACGGAGCGCCATAACGGGATTTGATAATTATAATTTTATCTCAGGCTCCCGCTTTAATTTCACACCATTCAAGCCCATCTTTCTGCGCGGCGAATATGTCGATAATGGCCGGAGTAATTTTCCGACTTCTTTTAGGATTAAGAGGAAAGTTGAGAACTTTAGCTCAAAAGGGGACCCGCCTGAGGTCAGGCAGCCTCCTGGAATGGATGGAAATGTAGCGCGCCCGGAAGTTAAATTTATTCAGATGAGCGAAGGGGATGGATCAAGTACGGGCTCTGGTGGTCGGTTTGGGTCGGGCTCCAAGGATGGGTGTTTTGGCCCGGATTTTCCGACTCCTAAAGAAATCTGTAAGGGGCTGGATAAATTTGTGATTGGCCAGGAGAGAGCGAAAAAGGTCATCTTTTTAGTTTAATGATGATTTGGTTGGTTAATTTTCGAGTTTTTAGTTGCGATGAGTTGAAGGATAAAAAACTTTTGTTTTAGATTCTTATGCCTTATTGAAGATTTTACCATGTGTTTATTTAAAATGATATTGTCATTGTAGTTAAATTGAATTTACTGATTGCAGGTCCTTTCTGTAGCAGTTTATAATCATTACAAGAGGATATATAGCGATTCCACACAAAGGTAATGACTTAAAACCTTCAGTTTCACTTTATTTACACTTCTGCAGTTATCGCGCAGTATACACCAGATAGGTTTTGAATAACATTTGATGGAGTCATCAGTTCGTACGGACTTCTAACACTGAGCTTCAATTGTACCATAATATTATCCGAATTTCGAGTTTTTGAACTGACTTCAACAGAATCTTGGGAAAATTACCACCGTGATATTGACCCATATTTATTTTTGCCTGCATTTTCTTCTGATACTCTGTCGACCTTGATGCGAAAATGTCTAATGTTAGCTTTATACCTTGGAAGTTAGGTCTTCAGGGAGTGCAGTTAGTGACAAAGTGGATGGAACTGATAATGAGACAGTAGAACTTGAGAAAAGTAACATTCTTCTAATGGGACCAACAGGCTCAGGTAATCTTAATAATATTTCTGTTCTTTTCTTGAGTGCGACAGATTGCACCCCTTGTATATAATACAGAATAATGACTAAATTTTTACTGAGTTTTCTAGTAATATGGAGGCCCAAAATTTTGAGACTTTATCTGGTCTAATAGCGATTTGGAATAGCTTGAAATCTGCAGAATCATTTGAAGATATTGTACTTGAAATGAAGCTCTTCTCTCTTTTATCATTATTCTGTTTGCTATCGGCTTTAAATTTAAAATTTTTGGTGGTTTTTAAAGACTACAGATATATGAATTGTCAAAAGGAGGAGTCAGCGGTATCTGTTGTTTATTGATTTTTAAATATTATCTCCTTACTCTGCCAACGTTACTTTTTCACGTCTTCTTTGAATGTTTCCTTAAGGACAGGGAAGACGCTACTTGCCAAAACTTTGGCGCGGCTGGTGAATGTTCCCTTTGTCATTGCCGATGCTACTACACTTACTCAGGCACGTTGTTAATTTATCATTCTATTTGAAGGAGGCTGATGTGCATTTGGCCCCTAATACCCAGATTATAGTATCTCTCCAATTTGATTTTCATGACATTATTGTTGCAAATTTTTGTGAACAAGGTTTTATCAGTTTTTCTCTATACAAGTTAGGGCGCATATCATCTGACAGTTTGATTATATTTCAGCAAGTTTTATGTCAACATGAGCTTCCTGAAATAGATGAGGACATGCATTGTTTCTATTCTGATAAAGATGTATCTTGTTGGCAGGCAGGATATGTTGGGGAAGATGTGGAGTCCATTTTATATAAGCTACTTACGGTAAGCTCTATGTACTCGATGTAATTGGAATGAGTGTTTATTGCGACGATCCTTTCCCTATTAAATTCCTGTCACCTGTTTTTTTATTTCCCACAATTATCTTTGCTGCTTTATTGTTTGGTTCTTTTTCTGGGTCGGGGGTGATCTTTGATAACTATTTTCCTTTCTGCTTGCTTATTATCTGGTCTTCCGCTTCTGGTTTTTCTCATTGTCCGTTGGCTTTTCTAAGCAGCTTTATACCACTGTTTGATATTTTGGATTTTGCTTTCTCATTATCCTACAGAATAAAGGACAAGTTGGGTTCGTAAATTTGCAGGGATCAATATTTTGTGTCTAAATATTACCTTTTACTGAATATATGTGAATCGTATTTGAAATTTTCATATTTTTGATAAAATTGTCTGGTGCATGACAGCCAGGTATATGTCCGACTCAAAGAAAAAATGAAATGAAAAGCTGAAATATTCTGTACGTGCAGGATTATTTTGTTTAGTCTAAATCTTTCATGGGAGAAAAACTGCTACTTCTGCTTTCATGATGACTTCCAGTGTCATAGAAGGATTCTAAGCTATGTAGGCTAATTATATTTTACATATATATTCCAGTTAGTGATTCTGGCCTTATTTCATTTCAGGTTGCTGACTATAATATTGCAGCTGCACAGCAAGGCATAGTTTATATTGATGAAGTTGACAAAATCACGAAAAAGGTTTTCTCAAGCATACTTCCGTAAAGGAAATATATGTTAACATTTATATTTAGCGTCTTAAAATCATTTATGTTAATGTTCCAACTCATTCCGTGCTGTATCTGCAGTCTGAAAGCCTCAATATCAGTAGAGATGTGTCGGGAGAAGGTGTCCAGCAAGCATTGTTGAAAATGCTTGAGGGGACTGTAAGTGCTTTGTTTTACTTTTACCTTCTTGAAAACTGCAACTTTACGTATGTCTATATTTCTATATTTTGTGCCAATCAAGAAATATTGTTCTCCACGTTGTCCCGTACTTACATCAATATCAGTTCTGCTGTTCTTCCCATGAGGTTTGTAGAGCTGTATGAAAATTCAGCAATGGATGCTACGATTTACCAAAATAAAACCGTCTAGTGGGGCTACTTGTCCTCATCAACAAATTTTTAGAATTTTTTTTCTTCATTATACCTTGACCTGAATGTAGGACTCCGGTAATGCAGTTGAAACAGACTGATTAATTTTATTTGCCAGATTCTGAATCGCGGTTCATTTTTTATGATCAGTACACTGTTCTTTTCCAGGTGGTCAATGTCCCAGAGAAAGGAGCCAGAAAGCATCCTAGGGGTGACAATATTCAGGTATTGGATGATCTATTTTCATGTTAATGACTGGGATTACCCACATAATGCTTGTTGCTGAAAACAGCTAGTAATGACATTGGCGGGAAATGATATTCTTGTGTTCTATAGTTGTTAGGGATGAAAAAATGGCGAACTTGTACAGTGTATTTGTGAGATTTTTTATTTTTTAATTTTGGGTTTCGGGGGTGTGGGGGGAATTAAACTTAGAGCATTACATCCCCTTCTCTGTTGACAATGAACTTGAGTATTCAGCATATTTTGTGATTATTTGATCATTTTTATTTAGTTATTTCTTTGATCTAATTATTCTGATTGTTATATTTTGTCGCATGTATTGGTCTATGTGTGTCTGCATGTCCATTCTGCTGTTTCAAGAATAATCAGGATGTTGGCTTCTCATTGATTCATTGTACTTTGTACAAAGCCATACATGTCCATGCATCCTAATGTTTCATTACATATTGATTTTATGTTTCCACAGATTGATACAAAGGACATTCTCTTTATATGTGGTGGTGCCTTTATTGATTTGGAAAAGACGATATCAGAAAGGTCCGTATAACTCTAATATTTTATATCCTTTTGTCGAGTTAACTTTTGTATCAATTACAGAATGTAAATTACTAAACTATACTCTTTTCAGGCGTCATGATTCTTCTATTGGTTTTGGTGCTCCTGTACGGGCAAACATAAGGACAGGCCGAGTTACAAGTGCTGCTGTGGCATCGTCTTTACTAGAAACTGTGAGCCTCATAGCAGCTGAATGTCGTTTCTTGCATGTGTGTGGAGAGTAGTGTTTTTGTGTACACCATATATGCTGGAGAATAACTGCATGATAGAATAACCTTGGAGTATGGCTGCAAGAGAGCGTGACAGGCTGAAATCATGTTGTTACTAGCATATTTGTGTTCCATTTGTAATAATATGACGATTACCCCCATGAAAGCATAATTGTCACTCTGTTTCGATTATCATGTTTTGCAGGTTGAAAGTGGTGATCTAATTGCATACGGGTTAATACCTGAGTTTGTTGGACGATTCCCCATCCTTGTTAATTTGGCAGCACTTACTGAAGATCAACTTGTTCAGGTATCAGTTTTATTGCAAAATCATTGTGTTTTTATTTGTTGTATTCAACAATCAAGTTTTCCTGTAATGCTATTACCTTCTTGACTTGAAGATTATGATGATAACAATGTTGATTTCCTTGGCCATTGAGATATGATAACCAGAACAGATATATTTATTTGCTTATGGCACGTGCAGCTTGAGCTATTATTATTTTTTACTTTGCAGGTTTTAATGGAGCCTAAAAATGCTTTAGGGAAGCAGTATAAGAAGATGTTCCAAATGAATGACGTAAGTTTTCACATTCCTCCCTCCATTGGAATCTGGTTTTATTAAGAGAAAGGATTCATTTAATTTCCCTCCCTCTCAATGTTGAGCTGTAGGCTGTTTTTCTTTTCTTCTTGATCTTCCTTTTTTTTGGGGTGGGTGCTTGGATGGGGTGGAATGTGGGTAGTTAGGGGAGGGTTAATGAGCTCCGACACAGCACCTTTTTATAGGAAAAAGTAATGTACCACATGGATAATTTTCAATGATGGTCTCATTTCTTAGGTGAAGCTTCGTTTCACAGAAGATGCATTGAGATTGATTGCTAGAAAAGCAATAACCAAGAATACAGGAGCTCGGGGTTTGCGATCCATGTTAGAGAATGTTTTGATGGATGCTATGTACGAGGTTCGTATTCCTCTTTCGAATTTTATAAAAAGTCAGGAATTTTAGACGATGCTGTCTCTAGAATATTATTTGCTGGTTGGAGTTAGAGAGTTAAAGGTTGAAACCAGATGTCTGGAGCATTTGTCATGCACCTCTAAGAACCAGCCATATCATGTGTCTGAACAGAAAAGTGTTATGATTCTCAAGAGTTAGGTATTATGTATTTGGTTCCATGAGGAATTCTGATCGCTATCTGCTATCTGCCAAACTGGTTTAGTACGATACTCAACACATGGGCAAGTGGATCAAGCGTGAGGCTAAATCTAGTCTAGATAAGCAGGTAAAAGTTACAATAATGTCAAGTAATCTATAAGTAAGTACTTAACCTTTTTTTTTTTAGCAAATGGATGAATTTGGTGATGCAGGCTGCACAGGGAGAATTATAGGATAAGGGGTAAGGGGAGAGAAGAGGAGAAAGGAGGGAGAAAAGAGAGAAGAAGGAGAGAGTAGAGAGAAATTGGAGAAGAAAGATATCAATTTTTATTCATTCAAGGTTAACAATTACATAGCATAAGATCTTTTTATATATGGTTTCAAATGGTCTATACTAAGAAAATACTATAAAAGGTAATAAATCAAACTATGATAACATTTCCTAAAATACGCATTTAAATCTGAAAACTAACAATAATATCCCTTCTAATTCTCCATCATTTCTCCCCGGCTAGAAAGAATTCGACTCCGGCAAGATAGATTGCATCTTATTATCCAAGGAGGGAGATTGTTCTTCTTCACCAAATAACGGAACCATTCATATGTCAATAACGGAACCTGAAAACATTCTCAAGCTTTTGATTTGACCAAGGGGACGATCTTTCCTTGTAACCAAGTAGCGGTAGAAAAGTTTTTTGTTGTAATATTGGACAACAACAGCATCTCTCTCATTTTTTTTTGAACTGATGAAAAATTCTAAAAATGAAATTCTGGGCATGAACAGTTGTTTTTTTTTGGGCTGCTGCTAATCAAGTCTGAATTTTGGGTGGTGGGAGCTATTGGTTTATTTTTTTGTTGGTTTGTGGTGGATGAAGTATATATGGTATGAAAGGCAGGAGGTTTGTGAGGTTGAAGGGCTTGATGTGTGGTGGTTGGTATGGAAACTGTTGGTGGAGATCCGATTTTTTGTTGCCCAAAGGAAATGAATTGAGCTTATGATAACAAATTGATGCAGGCTGCGCAAGGAGAATTATAGAAGGGGAAAGTGAAGAGGAGGAGAAAGGAGGGAGAAAATAGAAAGGGAGAGTAGAGAGAAATTGGGGAAGAAAGATATCAATTTTTATTCATTCAAGGTCACCAATTACATAGCGTAAGATCTCTTTATATAGGGTTTCAAAAGGCCTATACTAAGAAAATACTACAAAATGTAATAAATCAAACTATAATAACATTTCCTAAAATATGCATTTAAATCTGAAAACTAACAATAATATCCCTTCTAATTCTCCATCATTTGGTTTGTAGAGAACAAAATCCAAATTCTTTACGGATTCAGACATGAGGGAAAAAAAGATATATTATTGGTTTGTGAAGATTGTCATCTAGTATTGTAATAAATTAATAATTAATCATTTTTTTGTAACAATGGGAAGGATTAATGATTTAAGAAGCATATATATATATATATATATATGAATGAGTCATACAATGAAGTTGAGTTCATGCCAAGGAAATCTATTGTGGAAGCCATGATGGAGAAGTATAGGGTAACCGGTAACCAGTTTGGCAGTCGCACATCATCTTGCTAGTTTGTCAAAGATCGAGCCATTATTTGATAGACCCCACTTGATTAACCCAATTTTAATTGAGAGTATCAGAATTCCAAATGTGTCTCTTATTTTATTTTCATCCTCCCTACTCCTCTCGCTTTCTTCCTTTTGGTGGTGAATATGAATCCATCTCTTGCAGATTCCTGATGTTAGAACAGGAGATGATTTAATAGATGCTGTTCTAGTAGATGAGGAATCCATTGGATCTGAGAAATGTGGATGCGGGGCTAAAATCCTTCATGGTAAGGGGGCACTGGACCGCTATCTTTCAAAACACAAGTTAAAGGATTCAGAGGTATGGTAATCATGCAGAACTTCGGTATTTCCTTTTTTGTTATAAATCTCTATCTACAATGTTGCATGGATGTTTATTTTGCATTACAGGCATCTGCGGATGGGTCTGAAGGAGAATCTGTGGAGGAACCGGAACTTCCTTCAATCGTTGCATTGTAAACTTTCAATGAGGTCCATGTAAAGTCTCGCTATGTACAGTAGATTTATTGTACTTAATGTTTCTATTGTTCATCGATCCATTGCCATCTGAAACGAATAATTGTCTTGTCTTGGATTTACCAAACGACCGCGATCCAACGAAAAAAAGAAATGAAGAGAGCAGAACTACTCTTCCGCGGTTTATATTGATGGCGCTTATGCTGGCATTTTCCCCCATAAATATCTGAAGTGGACCGTTTATCAATGAATGTTTATCGGCTGCACTTTCTTGTGTATAGTTGGTTACTTGCTTTGAATGCTAGTTGCTCCATGTTGTGTCATGTTCTAGTTTCTCTTGAGAGTGCCAGGTTGATGGATGTTAAATGAGTCAAAGCAGTACTCTAGAGCAGGTTGGTTGATGTTATCAAGGAAAGTTTGCCGGTCACTAGCAGACGATGGGTGGCAGCAGCGGCTAGTGGTGGTAGCCGAGCATGGTCGATATTTATATTCTGCCATTGGCTGCTGGTAAGGTCACCAGCAGAAGCTAAGCTGGTGCTTATATATTGAATAATTGGCTTATTTTAGGGATCAAGTTGTTTGGGGGCTGGCAAGTGGGGACTAGAATAAAATAGGAAGACTTGGATGGTCCACAGGACATAATTCGAGGCAGTTTCAACTCATGACTTAGTAAACATTGTGGTATGATTATAGTCTCTTTGTGGGTCTCAACTTCTTTTAACGTTTTAGTGTACCTTTGGCGAAGCTTTTACTCAAGAAATGTGTGGATAAAAAGTAAGTTTGATCAGCTTAAAAAAGGAAAAGTTAAGCTTTGCTAAGCATGTTATAAGGTCAAGCAATCTTTGTACAGTTGCGACCATACAAAATTTTTCCTCTCGAGGGTCTCAAAGCGGAATGTTTGGTTACTGATGTATTCTTATATCCCACAACTTCGATAGACGCACGTTCATCTTTTGTGCGAGAGATATCCACAATGTCCACTCTTTTAAGGTGATTGATTCTAGGCGAGCTCCATGGATGACATCTTGTCAAGGCTATTATGAGTTCAAGATAAGTCTCAATGATAAATTTGGTAGACACGGTGGATATTATATGGTATAAACTGTTAGAACTATTATTTAGCATGCGGGATATGTAATAAAATCAGAAATGAAGAGAAGGAAACGACAAATCGAATAAATGCTTAACAAAATTGGCGCGCGTGTAGGTTTTGGACTAGTCTAGACATTGTCTAAGACTTCTCCTTTCCAAAGACTTGCAGAAACCAGTAGATTGAGGCTAGAGTTCGACTCTTTTTTCTGATGACGATTTTGGCCTGCTATGGTGTTTAAAGTTGACGTCAATCGCCTCTCAAAATACAACAATCTTTCTCTTGCGGTGTAGAAACACTCTTAACAGCAAGAACGACAAACCAGAAACGTTTTGTACTCTCTCAATGAATGGAAAATATATTTGTTATGCAGAATGCAATAGAAGAGAATGAAGATATTGGATATTTATAGATTTCCAAAAGTTGCAGACCCTTGAAAGGTTATAGTTTGTGTCAGTTTAGTCCGAACAGTTTCGAACAGGTTTGAAAAGACACACCTTTTCAATTAATTAATTTTGAAATTCCGAAATAAATTAAATAAATAATTTTAATTTATTTTGTTCAAAAAGAATATAGGAACCAACAACGACCCATGATCCGACCTCGTGCCGAGCCGGCTGGCCGGAAAGACGGCGACGGCGCACGTGTGGGTTTTGGACTAGTCTAGACATTGTTTAAGACTTCCCATTTCCAAATACTATTGATACCCATTGGGGCCCAAACCCATATCCAAACTTGAGGTATATAAATTGGTTCAAAATTCTTTCAACTTCCTATGTGAGATAAAGTTCCCACACTTGATTTTAAATTCCAGAATTTTTACTTTCAAGTTGTCAACTTCTAACATTAATTTCCCATTCACCCGAAAATGATTTTGTGAAATTAAATATATCACGAACATCTACTCGTAGAATAGAACGCGTTTGACCATTGACCTACACAAAACGGATACCGGGTCCTACCCGAATTATTAGTCAAACTTGACCCATTTCCAACATAAACTCTCTTTTTATTAGGGGTGTAAGCGATCCGATTTTTGCGGTTTTTGACAAATTTTCAAACCAAACCGTTTTGACCGGTTTGAGAAAAACTCAAACCTAAACTAAACCGTTTTGACCGGTTTGAAAAAAACTCAAACCTAAACCTAACGGTTTGATCCGGTTTTAAACCGCCGGTTTCGCGTATATTTTTTTCCTGTCTAATATCTACTTTATTGCCGTTAATTCAATATATATTTATATCTTACTAGAAATAAATCTAAAACAAACTAAATATATTTACTATAAATTTAAATA